TCTCTTCCTCTTCCTCCATGAGCTACACTCCTGTAGCTCTGTCTGTGTGTATGGGCCTCTTCCTCTTCCTCTGTGAGCAACACTCCTGTAGCTCTGTCTGTGTGTACTGACCTCTTCTTCCTCTCTGTGAGCAACACTCCTGTAGCTCTGTGTGTACTGATCTCTTCCTCTTCCTCCGTGAGCAGTGCTCCTGTTGCTTGGTAGTGATCTCTTCCTCTTCCTTAGCGAGCAGTGCTCCTGTTGTTCTGTACTGATCTCTTTCTCTTCCCCCGCAAGCAGTGCTCCTGTGGTTCTGTGTGTACTGATCTCTTCCTCTTCCTCTGTGAGCAGTGCTCCTGTTGCTCTGTGTGTACTGATCTCTTCCTCTTCCTCTGTGAGCAGTGCTCCTGTGGCTCTGTACTGATCTCTTCTTCTTCCTCTCCCCCTGTGTGCAGACGGGGTCCACAGTGTGACGGCCCAGTGCTCCCTGCAGGTCACCATCATCACGGACGAGATGCTGTCCAACAGCATCACGCTGCGCCTGGCCAACATGTCGCAGGAGCGCTTCCTGTCGCCGCTGCTGGGGCTCTTCCTGGAGGGCGTGGCCACGGTGCTGTCGGCCGCCAAGGAGGACATCGTCATCTTCAACATCCAGAACGACACGGACGTCAGCGCCAGCATCCTGAACGTCAGCCTGTCGGTGCTGGAGCCCGGGCGCGGCCAGTACGTCAGCTCGGAGGAGCTGCAGGAGCGGCTGTACCTCAACCGCAGCCTGCTGGCCCAGATCTCCTCCCAGCGCGTGCTGCCCTTCGACGACAACATCTGCCTGCGCGAGCCCTGCGAGAACTACATGAAGTGCGTCTCCGTGCTGAAGTTCGACAGCCTGGCGCCCTTCGTCTCCTCCGACACCATCCTCTTCCGGCCCATCCATCCCATCAACGGGCTGCGCTGCCGCTGCCCTGCGGGCTTCACCGGCGACTACTGCGAGACGGAGATCGACCTCTGCTACACCAAGCCCTGCGGCACCCACGGGGTGTGCCGCAGCCGAGAGGGGGGCTACACCTGCGAGTGCTTCGAGGACTTCACCGGTGAGTCGCCACCCCGCCCGGCCCCGGGTTCAAGGGCTGGGAGGAAGCTCCCACAATGCCTGTGCTGTATGGTCAATACGTTTGCAATGTCATCGCCTCCCTTGAGTGGATCGTCTATCTGGGCCATCAAAAATTCGGTTTTTGTTCTTGCTCTTCTTTATTGGAAGAGCCTTCTCCGGGTTCAGAGGGCATTTGCCCACCCTGCTCTGCTAGGGTTCAGGGTTCAGTGTCACTGAGCCCAGCCTCAGAGGGACACGGACGGCTGGCATGTTGGGCTGGTGACAGTGTGCCACGCTGGAATGCGATTGGATGTCAGAGAGCGTGTCTCCTCGCGCGGGGCAGCAGCAGGGTGACGGGACCTGCAGGGTCACGGGTGCTCGCTACTGACACAGGCGCCTCTTTCTCCTCTGATGTCCCCACTTGCAGACGGAGACAAGGAGCTGCACTGTGCTCGTTGCCTAACTGCATTCTAATCTAATTTAGGTCTGATGTCCTGCATTTGAAGCCTTTTTTAGTCGTCGGCATAATGGAAGGGATTCGAATATTTTGTTACAGACTGAACAGAAGGGACAGCTGCGGTTTTAGAGCTGCAATGCGTCGTGGGTAGCAGGTAGACGCAGGGCGGCACCGACACAGGGCAACAGTTCTAGCAGTTTCATACTCGGGTGGCACACCCTTCCAGTCAGGAGTTAGCTATGGTGTGTTGTGGTGTGTTTTTATGGAGGAGCGACAACAGTGACTCTGCAAAGCCACACAGGATGAAGCCACTTGAGCTTGGGCTGGGTTTTCCTGAGCGGCCCAGGCCGCATAAGCATGAGTGTTTCCCCTTCTCCCCTGACGAGTCGCAGCTCGTTTCAGCACTGCCTCTGAGCCTGTGCGCTGACAGGCAGTACCCGTGATTCACAGAGCCCGGCTGTGGGCACTCCTACCCCCTGCGTGCAACAAGACCAAACTCAAGTCAATCCTTTCCACTCCATTTGACTTCAAAACCAGCGATGGTTTGTTTTGGCTGTTACCTAGCAGCAGAAAAAAATCGACGTCTTTGAAGGCGGTCTTAGGAGCAGAGAGTGTCAGGCTCATGTTCTGCTCTAAAGCGCTTTCTGACTTAGACATCTTTGATCATGCAAAGCCCTGGACTGCTGGGAGCTGAACGGCCTGCAGAGCTGAGGTTAATGTCACCCGCAACACAGGTGTCGCTGTCTGAGTCCGGCAGGGTGGCCACGGTGTCGCCCGAGGGGGCAGAGTTTCCTCTTGGTGGACCCCTGGGTCCTGCACTGTCCTGAGAGCAGACTGTGTGGGTGCATAGCACCCTCTGCACTGCGGGGGGGTTGTATTGTGAGTTGAGATTAGAGAGCATCTGTTCCAGGAATCAGCACATAAAAAAATAATAAGCCTGCAAAATAAAGGGGCGCCAGCTGTTTTAGTGCCGAGCTGGCGGGGTGTCTGACTGAGTTGAGGTGTGGCTGAGAAGATGCAGTTACACCGGTGGGCTCTGAGCCAGCTCTCAAGCAAAAAGTAATTTGGCAAAGACAGAATGTTTGAGGTATTGATGTTTCTGAAGTGCTCGACAGCTTCAGTAGCCGAAACATGTGCTTCAGCCTGTCATCGGTCTTTGTGGAGAGCAGAGGAGCAGGTCCTGCAGGAGTTAGAGGAAACTGTCATGGCACCCAGTACTCTCCCGTCGGTGCATCTCACTCTCCCTACTTTGGAAAGAAACATCATTGAAAACGTCACTGTTTGCCTCATGCCTGTCTTTTCTTAATTTGACTGCAGCCTTTCTTTGTTTTTAATGATGTTGAAATTGGACTGAATTTTTGTCCCAGATATATCTAGTTTTAGTTAGTACACAGGTTGTAAACAGATGAATTAGATGAGAGTCATGTCAGTGGTAAGGCTGGACTGGCCTGGACTGGGACCCTGGGTTTCTTCTGTGGCTGGTGGATGGGCTTGAGTCTCTCTGAGTTACACCGATACTCGAGGCCTTTACAGAACGTTTCAGAACATGTAGAAAAGATCCCAGAATGCTCAACACAAATGAGACTGATCACAAGGGCAGCGTCAGTGGTGCCTCCTGGCCCACAATTTACCGCAAACACATGGCTCCCTTGACCTTTATTAAGGGCTCTTTTGAATCAGGGGTTCCTGGCAGGTGATTAGTGCCTGGCAGGTGATTAGTGCCTGCAAGGGCACAGAAAACGCAAAACACTGGAGGGGCACCCTCGCCACGCCGCACCCCAGAAGAGCACCCCCAGGTCTCGACTCGCTTTCCTGATCGATCTCTGCTGAAACCTTCGCCTCTGCCTTCTCACGAATCGGCAACAAAGCAGCCGCCTGGGAACGGGGGTATCATTCTGACAGCCCCAGTGATTCATGCCGATAGCAAACAAAGGCAGAGGAGGGTTTGTGGAGGCTGCAGACAAAGCAGAGGAAGTTGGGATCGTGTTGTGTGTGTGGGCGCCTGCATTAGAGCCTTTCAGACACACCCACTCGCCGCAGCTCTGCTCCCTCCCCGAGGGGGCTGTCTCACCGCCCCCGTACCTGGGGCTCCTCCCTTAGGAGACGAACGCAGAGAGCCGTACGGGGGAGAGGTGGCCAGGTTGGCGGCTTTTCACTGCGTGACTGGTGTTGCTGCGTGTCCTTCTGCGGGCTCACAGGTGTAGCCGAGCTAGTTCGGACACGGTGACGTCATCGCCCTCCCCGCGCGTAGCAGGGACCTCAGCCGCCTGGGCCGAGGGAGGTCTCCTTTAGCTCACTCGGCTTGTTCCCTGTTGCGTTACGCCGGAGACCCGGGTTCGCGCCCAGGTGTTGCAGGACAAACCAGCAGGGCGGAACCACAACAGTCACACAGGCATGAGGCTGGCACCTCTCGGCCCACGCTGCCAGACTCTGCGGCCAGCGACGCCTTCTCCCCACATGAGAGGGGCAGGGCGCAGAGTGACGCCAGCCAGAAAACTCAAGCAAGTTTCCTGCAGAATTTCACTGGGACAACGGAACGTGACCCGGGAAATCAGCTGGAAATGCAGAACCCACCTCAGTGCACAGAGGTGCAAAGTCAGGTGGGAGTGTGATTGGGGGTGCAGTCCCAGGGTGGGCCGAGTCACAGGGGTGGGATTGGGTTGTGCTGGTGTCAGGCTCCCTGCGTCTTTGAGGGAGTCTCCGAGGAGGTGAGGCAAATTCCCTGACGAGGTTAATTAGGCTGGACGAGGGTGAGCTGGTGGGCAGACAGTACGGTTTGCCTGGCCTGAGTGTATTCGCAGGGCTCGTCCAGCCCTCTAGTTCTCCTCTCGGCCTCCCCCCTGAGCCAGTGCCTCCTGCTCTGCAGACAGACGCTACGGTGGAGACGAGACCACTCAGTCTGGGCCACACAGACAGCAGCTGGAAACACGTTCAGGCATTTTTCCTTTTTTATGGTAACAAGTGATCTTCTGGCTTCAGAGCCAGTTCTGTGAGTAATTACCCAACCCGAGCGTGTGCTTCTGGCTGGCCTGCAAGCCACACGCTCCCCAGGATCACAGGAGGAGGGAGGAGGGAGCCAGGGGGCACGTTTTATCACACTGTTTGATTGTTTTGCTTTTGTGGTTTTTGGAAAGTGAGCTAAACAATTCAGCTCTAAGGAGAAGCTGATTCTTGTTGGAGCAGGGCTCGTTGGGAGAGGGGGATGCTGGGATTGTTTTGTAGTGTCTCATGTAGTGGGCAGCACCGGGTAATCGGTACTGGAGCCTCAGCTGGCTGTCTGAATGACCCCAGAGTCCGGCGAGCTGCCCAGGTCAGTGCTGTGCTTACAGAGCACAGTGTTTTATCACACACACACACACACTGCTGTCATGTAAACATGACCCCCCAGACTTCACCTGTCTGGCTTGAGGGATCACTATCTCTCAGTTCAGACCTCCCACAGCCTCTCTGCTCAGGAGGAGAAAGACGCCACAAATTCTGAGCCATTCCGGTGGATTCTCCTTTATATCACATTACCAGGCTCTGCCTCTGTCCATCTGGCGCCTGTGCTGTGATGAAGGGTCTTTGAGGATGAGGAGGAGGAGGAGGAGGTGGGCAGAGCTCCTGGCCTGCGAGAGGCGGTGTGGAAAGCCAAGCTCTTAACTCTCGGAGCTGTGGAAATCTGCTGGATTTGATTTTTCATTCTGTGCATCTTTCTGTTTGCTTTTCTTTTGTTCTTTGTGCAGTGTGAAGGTTATTTGCGCTCTTGGCATTTGCAGACTGCGGTCCGCTGAGCGAAATTCAGGGGTTGTGTGACATTGATGGCCACTGTGTTGCTGTGTCTAGGGGCTCCGGTTTGTTACTATGACTCAGGGATGTCCCTGTGTCTCGAGTTCCAAATGCTTACTGCAGTACATTTGCACTGTTGTCTACAGTCACACTGTGTACACTTATCTCATGCACCTTGCTCTGTTGTCGACTCCCACAGTGTGTTCTGGGCTGTGCCTGTGCCCTGTTTGCCCCGTTATACTGTTAATTCTCTAGCCAGTACACCGTTGCCGGATCTCGTCATCAAAGATATTTAAACTGGAACCTGAAGAGCCCACCTGCAGACTGTGGGTCAGAACGCAGGGCAGGACAGGTCTCCGCTCCTCCTGGCTGGGCCCAGGAGTGGGGCTCCTCAGCTGGGCTGTGGGTGATCTGAGAGCAGGCTGATTGCTCTAATCCCCACCTCAGGGCTGTCTCTGCTCCTGGCCATCCTCTGTAACGCAACCATTAACATTAACATTATTAGCCATCATTAACCACTGCTAACTCCTTCATGAATGCCTTGATCCAGGCTTGTGTCCTCAAGCTTACCCCCCTGGGGGCTTACAAGGCCCAGCGTTTGTCTCCTTTCTCTACTGTATCAGATAAAATCCCAGGACTGAGATGCATCAGCCCCCCAGTAATTAGAGGTTAAGTCTCTTGTTAGCTGAGACTTTGCTGTGCACTTCTCAGTTTAAAGCCTACCCTGCCGACAGATAACATCACTGTTAAGTCAGGCTGCTTCCTCATGTTGTTCTTGATTTCACATGAGAAAATTTGACTTTTACAACTCAGCTTTTCTTTTTTAAACACATGTATGGCTGAATATCAGCATTACTTTCTTTATATCTTCACCCAGTTGGACCAGCAAAATAGGTCTCACTCTATCCCAGGCTGAAGAAAACACTCAACAAGGCTTTTGCCTTCTAGAATTCCTCTGGTTGCACAAGAGGCTTTACAGGGTGTCTGTAATTATAGGGCTGAGTGTTTTTGTCCTAATCCCATGGAGGCTGGGTCTTGTTTCTGGGACTCTGGCTCTTCCCTTTGCCAACCAGCTGAACTCCAAAGTGCCTGGTTCTGCCCATCTGCAGCTGTGTGTGTGCTGCAGAACTGCACCTATGTGTGAGAAGCAAAGCTCGGGTCACGTAGTATCTGCCTGCAATAACAATTAATTAACTATTAAAAATAGTCAAGTAGACAGTAACCAAATTTAAAACCATCATTATAAGTTTCTGTAAATCACAATTAACAAGGTCACAAGAGAAATATTTGCTGCCATTCCTAAGGAACAGTGCTTATCTGGAGGTTTGCATCCCACACATTCTCCGTGTTACTACACCAGCATGGCTGGTCTCCGTGGCAACCGCATCCGGTCACTAGGTGACGGGAGCAGGGAGCAAGCAAGGATAGCAATCCCCAGGCCTGGGCTCTCCCGGGAAGCATTCTCTCAGCCCTGGGCTCCGTTACCACGGTGAGCGAGATCGATGCTGAAAGACGCTTGCTTGCACTTTGCTGAATAAAACATGCTTTCTAAAAGAGGGTCAATGGAGACTAATAATCGAGCTGGTATGACTACTGCTGCCGCCAGACATGTTATTTAGACATGGATCTGTGCACACTGAGATTACGCAGGGTAACAGACATTAGCATCTTTTTTTCTGACATGATCATTAAGTGTCACAGGCACTGATGCCTAATTAAAGATGACTGGAGGGGGACAGCTGTACCCCTCCTGCTGCACCACCACTGGTGTTTGAGGAGTCTGATGTGCTCATGCTGTCAGCTGGGTTCTGTTTTTGGGGTCTCTTGCATGTGGGGGTGGAAAGACAGGGGCAGCAGGTTACTTGTTGTTCACACACTGCTTGGTTTCGATGTTCATTTGTGGAAAGTGTAGTGAAACGTGAGCCCCTGACTCAGCACCCCGGGGTGCTGACGATGCTCTGGGGGTCCAGCCCAGGCCCCAGGCTGTCGTCTCACACTCTCTCTCTCTCTTCTGCCCAGGGGAGCAGTGCCAGATGTCGTCCCGCTCGGGCCGCTGCGTCCCGGGGGTGTGCAAGAACGGGGGCACTTGCGTCAACCTCCTGGTGGGGGGCTTCAAGTGTGACTGCCCCCCCGGGGGCTACGAGAAGCCCTTCTGCGAGATGACGACGCGCGGGTTCCCCCCCCAGTCCTTCGTCACCTTCAAGGGCCTGCGGCAGCGTTTCCACTTCACCCTCTCCCTCACGTGAGTGTCGCCTCCGTCGGCGCGGGGGGCCAAATTGGGGGGTCCTGTGGCTCGGAGGGGGGACCCCTCTGTTCCTGTGCTGTTCCTGTCTGTGGCAGTGTCTAGCATGCAGAAGCTCGGCGTTCTTGACATGTTGTCCTGCCCTGTCCCCCCTACAGCGCCCTGGATTTAGGGGGTACAGAAGGCAAGGGGCTGGACCTTGGGGGTCTTGCAGAGGTCAGTTTGGCAGGACTCCCTTGCACAGTGTCCGGGAACACGGGTGTCATGGGAACAGGAATTCTGCTGACCAGCCTCAGTGCTGACCCTACAGCAATGATTAACTAGGCAGGGGGCCTCTCGGACTGTGAGGCCAGTCAGTTCACACACACCACCACTGATCTCTCCTCTCTTCCAGGGACACTAGATAATGATCAACCCTCTTTTCGTGCTGAAGCTGTAAAATTGTGCGGAGAAAAGTTGGACCTGTTTTTACACCTGTGTTTTTGAGATCTCCCCTCCCAGAACCAGCAGCCCCTAAAGACAGCAGCCGGTTAATTTTTGTGAACTTTAAGAATACAGGCGCTCCTGGGGTTAAGATATTTGCAAGCACAATTAAAATGTAACCTTAGTTAAATTCACCGTGACCAGCCGGTCGGATCAGATGTCCATGAACAAGAGGCGGCCCCTGCAGTGGGCGGTAAGGGGGGATATCGGCAATCGGGCCCTGACAGGGCTCTGGCCTGTGTCTCCCAGCGAGCCCTCTGGTGCCCCCAGTCCTGTGTGTGTCTCCCCAAGTCCCCTGGCCATGCTGCTGGCGAGCTCTGGGGGGCCTGCTGTGTCCCCTGTGCGCTCCTGCGGAGCAGCTCTCTGCACGTGAAGCTGCAGGTGTTCAGTTACACGTCTGTGCGTCTCTGTAACGTGAGAGCAGTGGAATCCCGGAGCCGCTGTGAGCGGCTGCTCTGTTGTTCCCTCAGCACGGGATTACTGGGCAGCGCTGTCCCGGGAACACCCCCGTCTACAGGCCCGGGACAGGAGCCAGCTCAGTGTTGGCTGCTCTGTGTGTCTGTTTGCAGTGCGTCTGCGTCTGCGTCTGCGTCTGCGTCTGCGTCTGCGTCTGCGTCTGCGTCTGCGTCTGCTCGCTCAGCGCAGCCAGTTCACTGAAGGGCCAGGGCTGCAGACGGGTTGGGGTTCAAGCAGTGTGCTGCACAGGTCGTCTGTGTCTGTATCCGGGCCCAGGGTGAGAGGTGCCACCAGTGCTCAGTCTTAATCAGGCAGGAAAATAGCTGTCCTGTGTAGTGTATAGAACAAACATCAAAATACCTTCTAGAAAGCCCAAGTTCCTGAAACTTGAGCTCGGTGGGGTGATCAGGTTTCTCTTTTGTTTTGCTCCTGAGCTTTTTAATGCCTGGGAAACGCGAGACCTTCCAACCCCCCCAGATTCAGTCACCTGCTGTGATATTGGGCCGCTCCCCTAAATACCCCACAGCCACCAGCAAGTCTCGGCAAAATAGACGAGCAAAAGAGCTTGTAGAAGCCGCACAGGTGATAGACTGGTACTTTCCCTGGTGAGGTAGTTTGTTGTTTCTCTGATCTCGCCTCTCTCCTGCGCTCTGCGTGCACGTGCACAGCAGGACGAGGAAGACGAGGAATGGCCGAAGGCAGTGTGTCACGCTGGTAGGAGCAGGGTCACACACAGTGCAGAGGGTCCACTTCAAGGCCGGGCTGCAGGCTTGCAGTAACGTCAGGAAGAGCCGCTCCTCCGGTCACCCATGATGCACTGTGGAACTGGCCGCATGTCGGAGGGCAGTCGGCTCTCGCAGGCAGGCAGGAATGTCCACCAGCGAGCAGTGCTGCCTGTGACTCAGGTCCCTCTGAGTGCTCGGACAGGCGGAGAGCAGCGTGGGTTCAGGCACGGAGAGCGCAGGGAGGTGGCGGAGGGGGAGAGCATGCCCAGCCGGAAAAGGGAAAATGAAGGGAGGAGAGGGGGAGGTGGGTGGGCTGGAGCAGCACGCGGCTCTAGGTCAGTGGGCAGTGACAGCTGGAGACGGCAGACAGGCTGATCTGACTGCCCCCCAGGCAGAGTGAAGGTGAAAGCTCAGGGACAGGTTAATGTCAGTGTGGTAGTGACAGATGGATTATCTCCAGGCACTGCAGCCTCATGTTTTGTGTGTTTTGTCTTCTTGTTATAGTGTATAACAAGCCGCTAGCTAACAAGGATCACAGAGATGTTATCTATCCATTCAAATCCTGTTTTTATTTTTGCTGGACTTACATGTCAGGTAGCGCAGCTTGTCTGTCTCCCCTCTTAGGGCAGAACCCTGCAATGTCTGAAACCCGAATCAGTTGACAGGAAGTCATTGATACTTGCACTCAAATTCGAGACAGGGCCATCGGGCCAGCGAGAGCCATGCTGAGCCCATGTGGCGGGGAGCCAAAGCCCAGCAGATAATGCTTCAGAACTGAAGGACACGAGATTTGTCCCCCGGCACCATTGTCTCAGCAGTGTCCCTCTGTCCTCTGTCGCGCAGGTTTGCCACCAAGGAGCGGAACGGCCTGCTGCTGTACAACGGGCGCTTCAACGAGAGGCACGATTTCATCGCCCTGGAGATCGTCAACGAGCAGATCCAGCTCACCTTCTCTGCAGGTGCTCTTGAGTTTGGAGGAAAGGGCTCTAAATGGCATCGCATGCGAACATGCGAACTGGCAGTTTCTCCCGATCGCGGGGCCCCCGAATCTCCACGGCGGCACACGAGCTGTTGGTGTGTGAGGGCCACAGCTGGAGGGGATGCTGGGTAGAGGTCACTCAGGGGTCAGGGCTGTGGGCACTGTTCCCCCCCCCCCCCAGAAACCTTTTGTTATTGTAACTCCTGTCATTCCCTTTGGAGAACGGCGTCAGCCAAAACATAAAACAGTCAGCGCATCGATACATTGGATGAAGCTGCTGTGAGGAGGCCACTTGTTTTGTTATAAGCTTTGCCAAGACCAAAAGATCTTGAGAAAATGGAAGAAATCCAGGCGAGGTTACAGGGCCTATGGGAGAGGCTGGAGTCTCAGATGAAGGTCAGCACTGTGTCTTCTCAGGCAGCTCTGCCTCGTTCCTCGAAGCCAGTTTGAACTCGCCCTCCGAGCCTGAAAGCCCTCTGCAGGTGTAGTTAGTTTAACCTGTTCAGTGAGGTGAGGTTCAACAGCCTGTGTTGCTCCTGCATTGCGAGGGGGTGCTAGTGGAGAGGTCGGCTGATTGTCCTTTCTCTGCCAGGAGAGACGAAGACGCTGGTGTCGCCCTTCATCCCGGGCGGCGTGAGCGACGGCCAGTGGCATGTGGTCCAGCTGCAGTACTACAACAAGGTCAGTGGGGCGGCGCTCTGCATGGGGCTGCAGGACAGCTGGACACGGTGATTTCTGCATTCAGATCAACTGATACCATGGGAAGAAAAGCATGCGTTTTCAGTTTTTGATTGTTTTTTGATACTGTTTTTTTTCAGTTTTCCAGCTCTTCTTCTGTGTTAATGTCATGGGTTGACGAGTGTTAAATCAGTCCCACTCTGGGCCCAGGCTTAGAGGAGACAAGTGTAGCAATGAATCTGCGCTTTTCCCAAGTCTCGGCTTATTCCCAGGAGTCCTGGGGCAAGAGGCAGGAGCTGGTAGACTGGGGGTGTGCCAGGTGAAGACTCACGCAGGCTCTTGATCAGGAGAGATCCCGTGATGTCTGCCTCTGCTGCAGGTGTCTGGACACGGGAATGAGAGCGGGTTACTCAGCCTGGGCCCCAGGGCCTCATGCAGAGAAGCCAGGGAATCAGCTTCCACAGCAGGCCATGATCTCGAGCTGCTTGTTAAGAGATCACTTCATTGGCCATATACAGTTTTTTGTATTGGGAATTTGTCTCTTCGCATACCCCAACTTGCTCTCCATGAGACACACAGACAGGGAGAGAAGCTTGGGGTCAGAGCGCAGGGTCACCCATTTATACTGCGCCCCTGGAACAGTTGGGGTTAAAGGCCTTGCTCAGGGGCCCAACGGAGTAGGATACAAACCGGCAAACTTCCAGCCACAGAGCCACCACACCGCTTGAAGTTCTGAAGTCCGGCGCGTCCCGGCAGTCCGATTCGCTCAGTCAAGGACAGGAATAAACCCGGTTTGGACGCACTGAAGATGTTCTTTTATCCCTGCTCCCTTTTCTGTCCGGTCAGTGTTTAGGATTCAGTCTGAAAACACCTTTTGTTACTGTTGCTTATTGAGCCTTTTGTTTCACTTTTCCATTCAAATTGGAAAAAGAAATGGGGAGCAGGCTGTGCCCCTCTCGCTCCACCCCGCCCCCCCAGCTCCGCTGACTTGTAAACAGGATGTGACATTTCAGCCGATCGCCGTTTCCTAGCAGCTGCACCGGGGGGGGGCAAGATGGACATTTTTTATTGGTCAGGCGTGATCCCTGAATTCTGTCCCCCAAGTCAGTGTTAGGGTACTAATGAGCAGAGCCCTGGCTGGAGCGATGGTCTGGGCGGGCTAGCCTGTGGGGCTGGACTGAATGGGAGAAGGGGGCACAAAGGGAGTCCCAGGGGTCTCTCTGTGGCTTTGAGAGGGTGGGGGCCAGGGTTTGACTGAAGGGGGAGGTGTGAGCAGAACTGCAGCATTGTAATGAGTCTGTCCCAGTGGCACCCCTCTCTCTGGGCACCAGCGCCAGGCCAGGATGGGAAAACTGGTTTCCATGGTTTTCGGGCCATAAAAAAAACATTTTTTTTTAGTTCTTTTTCTTCTCTGATCATGACGGTGACAGTCAAGCTTTTTTATTAAAGCACTCCGCTGTTTGCCAGCTCTCTCTTTAGAAATAAACTGCCTCTCTAAGGGAGCCTTTTCATTTAATCCTGAGCAAATATGTAATCTTCAGTCAGCCCTGACAGGCCTGCAGCCCAGCCCCCCCGAAGGAAGGCAGAAGGACAAGACTGATGTTTGAGTTGGAAAGCTGCTGAAAGAGCTTGAAGAGACTGGCTCTCGGAAAGGCACAGACAGCGGCTTCCTCCTCGCCTGTGGCTGCTGGCCGGGCGCCTGGCTCAGCAGTCCGGGGCTGTGTGTGCACACCGGTCATTAGCCATTCTGTTTAAACAATCCCTGCTGCTGGATCAAACGTTCGCACTTCCCCAGATTCCTCAGAGCCGAGGAGCAGTGCTCCGAGGTAGGGGGGTCAGGGATGGGGGCGCCGGTGGGTCTCGGCCGCAGCCAGGCTGCGTTTGAGCCCTGAAGGGTTAGAATCCTGATCCGAACCTGGGAGCTGAGAGGCGCTGGCAGTGACTTGGGCTGTCTGTGCTGAGGGTGCTGCTTGTTGGTGAAAAGGATGGGCTTGATCAGGAGCAGTGAATGTCCTTCCTCCTGCCCCCAGACAATAACGGTTTCTCCTTTGTTGTGCAGCAGCCCTGACTCCCTGCTGAGAGGGGGGCCGGCCAGTGAGCTGATGATGTAGCACAGAAAGGAATTCCTTTGTGTGTGCGGGGAGTGAGGGTTTGTCTTTCTGGGGGTCTGTCCCAGAGCAGGAGAGTGCTGCTATGCCCCTGAGAGTCCTTTTCAAAAGTGAAAGCGTAGAGTCCTTGCGGGCAGGCTTGAGTGCTTTCGAGCGCATGTTAGGTTGGCCTCTCTTCAGCAGCCCCTCTGTGTTTCTCCAGCTCTGCCATGATTTCAGTGTAGGTAATTGGCAAAGCACAGAGTGCACTGTCCAAACACCTCCTGTGTTCAAGTCAGTCTCTGAGAGTGCCTGACGGGAAATATTCAGGGACATATATCTGCAGGTCTCGTTGCCGAGGCTCGGCAGGGTGTTGATACCCCAATGCAGGACGGTGCCGAATTGCACGGGTCCTGCAGCAGACAGCGCCACCATCTGGTACTGCAAGTCTCCTGCAGTTTCAGTGTTTAATGCCCATCGGCCTGTGTCCCCAGGGAGCCGAGATCCACCTGCAATCCATAGAGAAGGAGCAGCAGGTCAGGAGAGTGGGATAATTATCAGAGAAAGGTGTGGGGGCTCTGGGCTCATGTCTGCTAGGGTGTGGGCTCAGATCCCCAGTGGGTCTGACCCAGAACAGTACACAATGGGTGAAATATAAGTCTCTTTCTACAGAAGTGTCAGCTGCATAAATTAATCACATATCAGGAGGCCGCAATCATGGAAGGGTGAAAGCTTTCGTTCTCTTCCCTCTTGTTCCTTCCACCTTGGTCCCTCTATGGAGATGCTCTGTCTGCGTCCTGAGAGGCCCTTCCCTCAGCTGGGTGCCTCCCTCCCTCCCTTTGTGAGATCGCCATGACATCATGCCTTGTCTTTCTCTGCCCCCCTAGCCGGTCCTGGGCAAATCTGGGATCCCCCAGGGCCCCTCCGACCAGAAGGTTGCCGTGGTGACAGTGGACGACTGTGACACCTCCGTGGCCCTGAGATTCGGTCATGTGATTGGAAACTACACCTGCTCTGCGCAGGGCAGTCAGTCGGGATCCAAGAAGTAAGAAGGCCGTGGTATGGGGGGTGCACTCTGGGCAGGCTGGGTGATGGAGGAGCAGAAGCACGACATGGAGCTACTTACTGCGGGGGGCTGAGCTCCTATTGTGTGTTAATAGTTCTGTGTCATTTGCCTCAAATGCTGACATCACACAGCTGCACCACGTAGGATCAGGGCGTCATGGCCAGAGCGCCCGTGCTTTGGCATGTGTGCTCACGTGGCTCCTCGTCTCCTGTCAGGTCCCTGGACCTCACGGGCCCCCTGCTCCTCGGGGGGGTGCCCAACCTGCCGGAGGACTTCCCGGTGCAGAACCGCGAGTTCATTGGCTGCATGAAGAACCTGCAGATCGACAGCCGGCACGTGGACATGGCCGACTTCATCGCCAACAACGGCACTGTGCCAGGTACCGCCCCCTGCCCGCGCGGGCGTCGCAGTAGTTTGGGATGCGCTTACAGGGGTGCTGTGTTGCTTGCTCTGTTAACGGGCACCCCCTCCTGTGTGGTTCTCTCTCTTCCCCCCCCTCCTCCTCCAGGCTGCTCCGCCAAGCGCCACTTCTGCAGCACCAACCCCTGCCTGAACGGGGGCACCTGTGTCAACCGCTGGGGCTCCTTCAGCTGCGACTGCCCGCTGGGCTTCGGGGGCAGGAACTGCGAAGAGGGTAGGTGCCCGAGACCGAGACCTCTTCCAGTGATGCAGGGCGCAGGAGAGAACAGTGCTCTTGTAATGACCTCAGGGTGTGCCAGTCTCTTTGAGCCACACCTGCAGTGAAATGAGACTGCTGCTGCGGGTCTAGGGCGTAGCCCACGGCCATCGGGGCAGCATTGCACCTCTGGATGCTCTGTTGCCCCCTCTCCGTGTCTCCCTGTTGGATCTGCGATGTGGGCGGCGAGTCCTGGCGGTCAGCCCTGAGAAGCTCAGAAAGCCGGTCAGCACGGGGGCGGCGAGGCAGCAGTGAGAGATAAGCACATTTCCTGCAGAAGCGCGCTGGGCGGCTGGTTCCCGGTGTGGAGAGGCGCTGTTATTGGCAGGACCTGCGTCTGTTTCTCCACGCGCTCCTGGGCCAGTTCCGCACAGCAGCCCTTCTGGCTTCCTGACTTTGTTGCAGTGAAGGAATTGTTTTTCAGAACAGATGCGGCAGGTGGAATGTTTTTAAGCCTGTTTGCGCAGTAAAAGGCTGAGGCAGCTGTTTCAAGCCTCCCCTCCTCTCACCCTAAGCCTAAAACAAAGTGGTGTCCAGCCTGACGGCTCCAGGGGAACAGGCTGGGCTCGCTGGGATGGTGAGCATCATTCGGGCGAGGGCGCAGGGAGAGCGAGAGAGGGGCTGGCGCAGCTGTTCGCCCGCTGATGTACGGATCAGAACAGCTGGGGAAGGGGGCCTGCGCAGGGAGTGAAGGAGCAGCCCTGGGGAGGAGAGAAGGGGCTTGTGCAGATGTCTGGGCGTCCTATTTACGTTGCCCTGCTATGTTATTGTGTGCCGTTTCGCACAGTGTTTCCATTTGATGGGAAGGTCTGCCCTTCTGCGTCAGGCCCTGCGGGATTCTGGGTGCTCGTGCTGAGCACTGTGTCACGTGCCTGTCTCGTTTTACAGAAGCGCACTGGAGTTATTTTTAAGACAAAAGAAACAGAAATAGCAGGGGGACAGGGGGCAAACCCGCGACTCAGACTGTCAGCTTTGAAGATTTCACTCCAGCAGCCTCGGCTCCCATTCCAGTTTTAATTAGCGGTTAACAAGCAGCTCTGATCAGCCCAGACAACACAGGCGCTTTGTTATGTAACGTCCTCCTGCTCCTCTCGGAAAGACGCTCCCTCATCTTGCCAGCACCCTCTGCTCCCGTGTCTGAAGCCCCGCAGATAATTAGAGTCTCGCATTAATGACGGCAAGCTGACAAACATATGTGGCTGCTGGAGAAGAGAGAGAATAGTGGGCATTGATGGCAGTTGTCAGGGGCGCAGTGTGTGTGCCAGCACTAGGGCCTGGCATTCTGTCACCCCCCTCCCAGTTACCAGCCTGGTGTCCTGGCACCCTCCCCTGACACCAGCCTGTCACCCTGTACACTATCAGTGTTAATAGTGGCATGTTAGAGTGTATTACAGTAGTATTGTGCTTTTGCAGACTGAGCTGCCTGTGTTGTCTCCCGCAGTGATGGCCAGCCCCCAGCGCTTCCTGGGAGACAGCCTGGTGTTGTGGAATAACCTGGCCTCCGCCATCACGTTGCCCTGGTTCGTCGGTGTGATGTTCCGAACGCGCCAGGCCAGCGCGGTGCTTCTGAGAGCCACCGCCGGGCAGCACGCCACCCTCAGCCTGCAGGTCAGACCCCCGGCCGGGCTGCGGCCACGTCACGCCGCCCCCTGCCCTGGCTTGACGCAAGCAAGCCTTCGGCAGCGTGAAATCGCTTGTTTCTGAAATGATGCGTCACAATTGTTCCTGCTGGGATTTGATCTCAAAGATGCAGCCACCAGCTGCTCGGCAGCTATTAGAGTTATTTAAAGATGACTGATGGGGAAATTGTCGGGTTGCGCTTGTCAGCGCTCACATTGTGACAGCTTGGTTCATTAGAGAGAACAGCCGGCTTAAAAGGGCAAGGGCGCCACCTGCTGGGCAACAGGAGAACTCCCTGAATTCAGGACTTGCACAAGGTTCCGGCTTGCAGAGTTAAGAGCAGTAAAGCTTAAGGGAAAAGAGCTGTCCCTATTAAAGAGTTTTAATTCCATGTCATGGTCCTTTGAAATGTACGGTTCAGTTGGGGAGTTTCCTCTGTGACAGAATGATCAGTGAAGTGCTCAGCCCTGATGCTGGTGTCTAGCTGCAGGTCTCAGTGGGGCTGCACTGGGATGGCTGCACTCTGCACTCCCCTAGGGTCTGGTTCTTAAACCCAGCCGTGTCCAGCAAACCCAGCTATAGAAACTGCCACTAGGGTTGGCATGCTGTCTTCAGGCAGGTAGATTAATGAATTAATCAAGCCCATTAGCTATCACTGTGTTGAAAGGAAGCCCTGAGTTTGATTAAATCTTGTTCACCTCTGTCCGTCTGTCTGTCCACCTGTGTCTGCAGCTGAGCGAGGGCAGTGTGCTCCTGTCCGTGCAGCAGGGGGGCGATGTGGTCACTACTCTCCAGATGGACGAGGTGAAGGTCAACGACGGCGACTGGCACCACCTGCAGCTGGAGCTGAGAGGCGTGCACGTGGGCGAGGAGCTGCAGCACCACGCCATCCTGTCCTTCGACTACGGCCTGCACATGGTGAGTGCCAGGGGCGTTCAGTGGGCAGCAGCAACCTTCCACAGGTCTGGGCGAATGTGCACCGTGGCTCCTTCATCTCTGGACCTGAATACATCTTCTGTGTCTCCCCGTGACCCTGTGTCGGCACTGGCAGGCCAGTGTGAAACTGGACCAGGAGCTGCAGGGACTGAAGCTGAAGACCATGAGCATGGGAGGTGTCTCAGGCGGAGAGGGGGCCGTGCTGCGGGGATTCAGAGGCTGCATGCAGGTGAGACATAGTACTGGATACAGTCCAACACAGGTAAACACACTGGACACTGATGGACACGCTGGACACAGTCAAACCCTGATCAACACAGTGGATACTGACAGACACACTGGACACAGTCAAACACAGATAAACACACTGAACACTGACAGACACACTGGACAGACACGTGAGCACTGGTCACAGTGTAAAGGTACACCTGAGCGCTGAGGGGTATTTAAGTACCCTTCTGCAAGCCTATGACTTGCGCTGTCTGTCCCTGTTCACTTCTTCTGTGCGTGTGGTTCGGCAGGGCGTGCGGATTGGGGAGACGTCGGCGAGTGCAGTGGCCCTGAACCTCATCCAGGCGGAGCGCGTTAACGTGGAGCGGGGCTGCAGCGTGCCAGACCCCTGTGACTCCAGCCCCTGCCCCGCCAACAGCTACTGCAGCGACGACTGGGACAGCTTCTCCTGTAGCTGCGACCCCGGTATGGGCCAGACAGGCCAGCCTGGTGTTCTGTCCCATTCTCTAGACCCTACCCTAAACAACTCTATCCCGTTCTCTAGATCCAACCCAACCCTAAACAACTCTCACCCATTCTCTGAGACCCAACCCAACCCAACCCTAACACATTCTCTTAGATCTCACCCATTCTCTTAGACCCAACCTAACCGTAAGCCATTTTCTAAGATGACCTTACCAACATTGACAGTGAGGAAAGAAAACATAAAAATGGCTTTGAAAAATGTGTGGGAATTTGTTTGGAACTGTAAAAGTGGACGTCCACTATTCAAACAAATGTTAAATTGTTCCCGAGGTTTTTTCATTCAGTTTTCTTTTTGAACTGTTGTCTTGTATGAAGCTCCGGATGGGGCGCTGTGTGGTGTTCCTGTGCGTTCTCTGGCTAAGCCTTGTCCTGCGCTCTTCTCTCTCAGGGTACTACGGCGAGGGCTGTACTGATGTGTGCTCTCTGAACCCCTGTGAGCACCAATCAGCTTGCACGAGAAAGCCAAGCTCCTCCCATGGCTACACCTGCGAGTGTTCGAGCAGCCACTTCGGCCAATACTGTGAGAGCAGGTGAGACACGCCCCCCTGGCCCCGCCTCCTTACCCAAGAGCTGATGCTGATAGACAAGGCGTAGAATCACACAGACTGATGCGCTCAAGCATGTATTTAGTGTTTTGCCTTTTTTATGGTATCAAAATAATTTCATTGCAATATATGAAGTGATTGGAGCTCAAACTGATGCTACCAACAGTTATCATTGATCTGAGAATACCGGAGTTTCCAGAAGGAACAGTGAGATTATAATGATCACAGCAGTAATAATAAAAGCGATTGCAATAATACGATGCAGCCAGGGGCGGTGCAGTTTCTGTGCCAGTGGCCTCCGTAGCGGAGCAGCCTGGAAGGTGTGTTGGTCCCAGTGTCCAGCTGACTGGTGTCCTCTCCCCCAGGATTGACCAGCCCTGTCCCAAAGGCTGGTGGGGGCACCCAATGTGTGGCCCCTGCGACTGCGAGACGGCCAAGGGCTTCGACCCCGACTGCAACAAGACCAGCGGGCAGTGCCGCTGCAAGGTAAGCCACCTCCCAGCACATTTACCCTGTTTCTACCACAGTGGACCGGCCAGGTGACTCCTCCCCCCTCTCTCCCCAGGACAATCACTATCGACCCCCCGGCAGCGACACCTGCTTCCCCTGCGACTGCTACCCCACCGGCTCCTTCTCGCGGGCCTGTGACCCGGAGTCGGGCCAGTGCCAGTGCAAGGCGGGCGTGATCGGGCAGCACTGCGACCGATGCGACAACCCCTTCGCCGAGGTCTCCGCCAGCGGCTGCGAAGGTGGGCTGCCACGCGCGTCTCTGTCCGCCGCCAGTTCGGTAGAAACTGCACAGTCTGCGCCAAGAAAGCAGTAACTCAGCTGTTCTGATTATATGTGTGTTATACACCCAGAGGCCGGGACCTCTGTCTCCCCCTCTCTCCTGATGTCTTTATCTTCTTCTCTCTTTCCCTCCTCTTCCTCTCCATGCAGTGATCTACGACAGCTGTCCCCGGGCCATGGAGGCTGATATCTGGTGGCCCAGGACCAAGTTCGGTCTCCCTGCTGCAGTTCCCTGCCCAAAAGGATCCATCGGTAATGCTTCAGCTTTTCCATTTTGTGTCTCCCAGGGGATCAGGAATGGGGATTGTTTAGGCAGTTGCCATGGGTTTCGGAAGCTCTTGAGCTGGTTGGTGATCGGAAGTTGCCAGACAGATTTCCTGCTAGTTGTAGTCTGATGTGGCGGTAGTCTGGGCCAGAGCAGATCCAGCCCATGACCCGCGAGTCTGTCTGTCTGTCCACAGGCACAGCGTTCCGGCACTGCGATGAGCACAAGGGCTGGCTCCCTCCCAACCTCTTCAACTGCACCTCCGTCACCTTCTCGCAGCTCAAGACCTTCGTGAGTAATCCTTCTCCCTCTGCGCCTCCTTCCAGCTGTCTCTGGTTAGCACGGTGCCATCCTGTGGGTTCCCATGTCTCTCTCCCTCCTTCCACAGTCCGAGGAGCTGGCGCGCAATGCATCCCTGCTGGACTCCGGGAGGTCACGGCAGGTGGCAGGCACGCTGCAGAATGCCAGCCAGCACACACAGGCCTACTTTGGCAGCGACGTCAAGGTGGCCTACCGGCTGACCCAGAAGATCCTGGAGTACGAGAGCAGCCAGCAGGGCTTCAGCCTGGCCGCTACGCAGGACGTGCACTTCACCGAGGTCAGCAGGCAGGATCACATACAAGTAGACACAGGCTGACCGAAAACCATGACCATTTACAGAGACAAGGGCATCTATAGGCTGAATGCAGAAACGAGGTGAACAGCCGGATAAAGACAGGCTGAGGTAGCCACTCACTGACTGATGGTCACAGGCACACAGAGCGAGCCACACAGAATATCAGTCCTGTAGATAGGCAGTGCACAACTGAAAAAATCTTTTTAAAATTTTCAAATGAAGGATTATGGACTATGTATGTCCTCTTCCAGAACTTGTTCAAGGTGGGCAGTGCCATCCTGGCACCAAGCACCAAGCCACACTGGGAGCTGATCCAGAAGACAGAGGGTGGCACAGCGCTGCTGCTGAGGCACTATGAGGAATATGCCAACACGCTGGCGCAGAACATGAGGAAGACCTACCTGAGCCCCTTCACCATCGTCACGCCGAACATCGGTGAGGATCACTCCCCTGCCTGGCACTGGGCTTGGAGCTGGGGAGGGGGTCCCAGCACGGTCTGGGGGTCAGGACTGGGGCTTGTGTGGGGACTGAGATCATTCAGGAGCTGCAGAGATCCGGTGCCGAGTCCAGTCTTGACCCGAGTGATCTCTCTTCCCAGTGATCTCGGTGGACCGCCTGGACAAGATGAACTTCGCTGGCGCCAAGCTGCCGCGGTACGAGGCACTGCGAGGAGATCGCCCTTCTGACCTGGAGACGTCCGTCACCCTGCCCGACACCGTTTTCATGCCCACCGAGAACAAAGGCAAGAGTGGAGACACTTCTGCCCAGTTACAGCAGCCCTGGGCACCTTCACTCACCCCGATCCCACCAGCCACACCTCCAGTTACACCAGGCCTGGGCACCATCACCCACCCCGATCCCACCAGC